TATATATATATATATATTGTAAATTTTCAGAAAAAGATATCAAAGGATGGAAACCTCTTATGCTTGATTTTCTGTTTAAATTAATTAATTATTAAAAGAAATTATTCTTCCTCCCGAATATATCTTATAATAAATATACTCTCCTTCCGGAGGCACATAAGAAAATTTCCTCATTTCTTGTGGAGCGGGTCGAACGCCTCGGCAGGTTAGATGCATCTATGGATCGCGTCGCACGTCCCTCGGCAAGGTACACGACACTCTGGATCGGGTCGTACGTCCTCGGCAGAAATCGTTCTTAATAATAATAATAATTATATGATACTTGGACACTTTATTACACCTTGTAAAGTTATTTGATAAATTAAAAATTTATTGAAATTAAATTGTAGCTTGTAAAGCTATTTGATAAACTGGAATTTTTATTGAAATTGAAGGATTTACTTAAGAGATTAGAAATTATTTGAATTGAAGGAATTTAATTAATATATTGAGAATTATTGGAATTGAAGGAATTTAATTACTTCTGCTGGTTCAATAAATTATTGTTAATTATGTGAATCATCGTTTATATAAATATTTCTATTTTCATGATTATTTAATATTACTGACCCATAGTGATTGTCATAGTCAGCCATCTCGTCTCTACCTCTTTGAGATTAGGCTTGATACTTACTGGGCACACATTATTTTCGTACTCATACTGCACTTGCTGCACATTTTATTGTGCAGGTACATATATGTATAGCGGCCTTGTGGGCGCAGAGGTGTTATAAAAATTGTGGGGACATAGGTGAGATGCATTCTATATTACGATTCGCAGCTAACAGAATCTCCTTCAGAGTTATTATATTTTCCTATCTAATTTGTATTCTGGACAGATGCTGTATTTTATTTTAATCCCCTAGTAAATGCTCATGCACTTATGACACCGGATTTTGGGAATGGTTGTGAATTGTTTAGAAATTTAGCTGCAAAAATATTTATCATTTACTCTATGAGTTTTATCTCTATAATTTTATTAAANAATTTTTATTAAAGAAATTTTTTATTTCAAAAATACTAAAATGGGTAATTAAGTTAATTGATTATGGTTGGCTTGCCTGACAGTGGTGTCCAGCGCCATCACGACCTTTTTGGGTTTTGGGTCGTGACAGCACCTTCACTGAAGCTATATCCTTTGACCTCAACCTTCGAACCTGCCGATCCAAAATAGCCACCGGCTCCACATCATAAGTCATATCACCCTCCAATTGAACCGTGCTGAAATTCAAATTATGGGACGGATCTCCAATATACTTTCGGAGCATGGAAACATGAAACACTGGATGCACACAAGACAAGCTGGGTGGCAAGGCAAGCTTATAAGCCACCTCCCCTATTCTCTGAAGCACCTCAAAAGGCCAAATGAACCGGGGGCTAAACTTGCCACTCTTCCCAAACCTCATAACACTTTTCATGAGTGATACCTTCAGCAAAACCTTCTCCCCAACCATAAAAGACACATCACGGATCTTCCTATCCGCGTAGCTCTTCTGCCTAGACTGCGCCATGCGAAGCCACTCCTGAATCAATTTCACCTTATCTAATGCGTCCTGGAACAAGTCTGTACCTAAGAGCCTAGCCTCATCCGGCTCAAACCATCCAACCGAAGATCTACACCTCCTCCCATATAAAGCCTCGTACGGAGCCATCTGAATACTCGACTGATAACTGTTGTTAAATGCAAACTCCGCGAGTGGCAGAAACTGGTCCCATGAATCCCCAAAGTCAATGACACAAGCACGCAACATGTCCTCCAATATCTGAATATTGCGCTCGGACTGCCCGTCCATCTGAGAGTAAAAAGCTATGCTCAACTCAACCTGAGTACCCAATTCTCGCTGCACGGCCCTCCAAAACTGCAATGTAAACTGAGTACCCCTATCTGAAATGATGGAAACTGGGACACCATGCAGGCGAACGA